AGAAGACTGTTAGGCGAAATCACGTGCTAGACTCTCGAGTGGAATCCGCAACGGGGAACTATGAGTTGGGCATCCGAGGGTGTTAGGGAGGAGATCATATTAGGAAAAGATGATAACTTATGGGCAATCGTGGAGCTGGCTACAGAAGACTGCATCGAACAGAGTGAAATAACAACTCTTGTTTACATTCACAAGTAGGATGCAGGACACCTATGTCACCTACTTAGTTCAAGGTGGTGTTGTTAACTACTGGAGTTAGAGACCTTAATGGGCGGTTATTTAGGCTAAAACTAACTCGCTGCACGACTAGATTATAAGTAAATTGGTTACTTAAGTGAAGCAGACATAACTGTATATAAGCTATTCTTATTATCACGATAGCTTGACTTATTCGACGGTTATTTTTCAACTCAACAAGAGATTGTATTGTGCCCAACAGGCTTCACCATTTTCAATAGTTGGTTGGTAAGGATTAGATTTGTTTTTTACGAGTTGATCACGGATTGATATCAGTTAGACAAGCATTGAGAACCAAGGAGCACTGGACAGCTATTTCATCCTAGTTTGGGAATCATCGGCCGATGATTCAGTCCAGTGCTGACTGGTTTTCAATGCTTGTCTAACTGATATTAATCCCCATACTGAGACAGACACAAAAGTCAGATCCAACCGCGACAACGTTTACTAGACAAAATACACGTTATATCATATTTACAAAACCTGAGGAATTTAAGCCATAAATAAACAAATCAAAAACTACTCCATCAGGTTATCATATTATTATGCCCATAAACCATGACTTCATGGCTAACAAAGAAGCTTGTCCATGGTAGCAAAGTTCAAAGCTCACTGCAATTACTTTTCTCGTTGCATTTGAATGTTTTCATTTCATCTCAACATTTACCGTCATAAAGCATTGTTGCTGAACTTTTCAAATTGTCAGTCTTTATTATTCATTCACTGCCTTCCTAGTGGATCATGAAGATTAAGCAGCACTTCTCTACTACACTCCATTTTCTGATATTATTTTAAAATGACTCAATGACTAGTTTTCATTTTCTTCTCACGTGAACTTCTCCATATCAACTTCGGACGTCCAACTTATCGCTTCTTATTAAAGTTCCACCTAACGACCCGGTGTGTATTGTCACTCAAGGGTCCGTATTTGCCTCTGCATATATTTTTGGGCGATAGGTTCTTGACTAGTTACCACCCGGAGTTCCTTATTGTTTACACATCCCGGATAGCCATCTGATTTCCTATATCGATGTGGTGAAAGCATCTTTTGGTGAAAGTCTGAAGTAGGATGTCGGAAATGTTTCTCGTAATGTGCCGAATATCTGGATCGTATAGAAGCAACAACTTCACATTAGTCTTAAAAATCAGATCTTGCTTCTCGTGCTGAGTACTGTGGATCTTCTCACTGAATTCAAAGTAAAACACTCCTGTCTTGCTTTACCAATCCGATTTTGGCTGGCATTTATATCCTCATCTGTGTCGTATATAGTTGAAACCATGCTGCTCAAGACAGTCAAACAGACGACTAAGTGTATATTTCACCCACTAATAGTGATTGGTGCTGATCAGTTGATCTCGGTTAGTTTACTAATGGGTACTAACGTCTAAAAAGAAGGATGGTTAGACATGGGACAGGACCCTAAACTCGTAGAAAACATCAAAGCTACTCAAAAGTGTAGAAGAAATAAGCTTGCACTCAATTGACGAGTGGAACTTTCTTCGAAATGTGCTGCAGAATGTTAATGAAAACCTTATCCCGAAAATCACCAACTGTAAGGACATTTCAACTATGTTTTCTTATTTTTTGAACCAGAGATAAAAATGTAACAAATAACGTTTAAAAAGAGCACTCCATCTGATTACAAAGTTAGTTTATTTCGTATTCGTTTGTTTATTAGATGTATCACACAGTGAAACAGTATTATTACTATTGACTGGATGATGTCTCGAACCGAATTTATTGTTCAAAATCATATCAATTATAAACACACAATTTCGAAATTTGAGTTTTATAGTTTTCTTTGTCCCCTCCTATTTGTCGTCGTACGGGAAGTAGAATTTTCCAGATAGCTGGCCGGGACAGGTGTTGAATCATTTCTATTACACGTGTTTGCAGTTGGTTCGATAAACAAAGCGTTTGTTATCAATCTCTCGCTCCACTCTGTGAGATCCTCTAACCAACAACAATAAAGAATCTAAATCACCAGTAGTAATTCCATACAAGGAAGGAACCTCAGAAACCTTACACAGAATTCTTAACAAGGTAGAAATAAAAGTGCTTGGCATTCAAACCACCCACAAACTCAATTAGAAACAAGCTTTGTCAGTTAAATGTTGAGTCCTGTGAAGCCTTTAAAACAAAACAATTTAGTTTATCTAATACACTACCTGCAATGATTGTTAGGTCAAATACATAGGCCAAAGTAGTAGAACAGGGGAAGTCAAACTAGCCGGGCATAAAAATCCACCAAAATCTAGATTAGTTGGCCCGAATAAGATACGAAATCTAGAGAATAGTTCAGCTATACCACTCACCACATGCAATTACACACAACCATACAATAGGATGGGATAGGATGACAGTTTTAAAATCTAATGTCACAGAGTGGAGTGAGAGATTGATAACAAACGCTTTGTTTATCGAACCAACTGCAAACACGTGTAATAGAAATGATTCAACACCTGTCCCGGCCAGCTATCTGGAAAATTCTACTTCCCGTACGACGACAAATAGGAGGGGACAAAGAAAACTATAAAACTCAAATTTCGAAATTGTGTGTTTATAATTGATATGATTTTGAACAATAAATTCGGTTCGAGACGTCATCCAGTCAATAGTAATAATACTGTTTCGCTGTGTGATACATCTAATAAACAAACTAATATGGAATTACTTACTACCACAGTGCCCATGTTTTACACATATATTAGTTTATTTCGAAAGCACATAAAAGTATATGTGATTGACAACCCTTGGACAAATGAAAAAAAGCCGGAGCTCTCATGAAAATAACACTAGTAGCCGTCAGAGCTATTTCCATCCTATTGTAGTACGTTTGAATGGTAATATATTATACACCAAAGTGCCTCACAATTAAACCCTTAGGGTGCTGTTTCTCTCCAATAGTATGTCTTTGTAGATAGTGACAGACTTCATAGATATGTAGCATTCTCTTGTATGGTCATAATTAGCTTATGCGTAATTTACCCTACAGTATCTTCAATGCTGAACTAGTATAGATGGATGTTTCAGATGAGTAGCTCACACGTCAGAGGCTTAAACAATCATGTTTGACAATCTCACCTACTGACTTGAACCTTTACATAGAACTTTACTAGATTACCAGTCAATGCCGTTGATTAAATGAGCACTTCCTATAAACCTTCTCACGTTCTCCAATTTGAATGCAAATTATCACCACAATATCTGATAAGCTCAACTAAGTACTTCTGAGAACCTCACAACATCTCGAACTATGAATCTATTGGTCTGGCGCAAATCAAAACCTGAGGATATGAATAACGGGATTCATTAGAAAAAAAATGGTACAACTAATTTGTTACAAATGAAACTGCGTGTAGTGGGATGAATTTATTCATAGAAATATCGATTAACTCTCTCTCTCCTCCCGTCGACCCTCCCAAATCTTTTTTTCTATTCCTTCATGTTCCCAGTGGAACACAGGGCTTCAAGCTAGAGGCTTGAAGTTTCTGTAGCAGTGGTGTTTATTTTTACAGTATGAAGTTGCTAGTCTCATGCCCAACAAGATTTATTACTGGCTTAGCGAGGTAAAGGAGTGTGTCAGTCGCCGAGGATCGAACCCCAGACCATGTACATGGTTGGCGAGCATCTTAATCTCCCAATTCACTTTATTTTATTTCACTTCAGCCCTCTTAGTATTTTCGCATTTTGTCTATTCATCATACACCCTAAATGATTCCGCTTTCATTCGTGTACATATAACATATGTGCACATAAACCGCTAGTGAACTACTTCTCGAAACGAACAATGCTTTTTTTTGCTCCATGTAAATATCTATGCAACTAGTTATGCCAATGTTTGTTTGTTTTTTAATTCATAGAATAAGACGATTCCACTTGTCATTTGACAAAAAAGAAGATACATATTCTCTTCTCTTAAAATCAAAAAGAATACAAAATCATTTTTCATTGAATGTTCAAAAATTTCCACAAATACAAGTAAGGATAAACGGAGATAGTTGATAATATCTTCAAACCAATGATTGTTATTATTAGTAGTAGTTGTTGAAGTGATTCATCACTGTCTGACAGCAACAATGAATATTATAACAATAGCAATATGAGGGAAAAGACAAGAAAAGAAAAGACAAATAGCAATACAATGATGAAATCATAACAATAAATCAGCCTAAAAACAGACAAAAGACAAGAAATATTAGAACACAATATTTGCACACAACATAGATGTTACAGATAGCTATGGAGGGGGGGTTGGGAATGCGGAGGAGGAGGGGTTAACAATGCAAAAGAAACCAAGAGTAGAAGGGAAAAAGGTGGAGGAAGTATGACATCAGTTAAGATAAGCTCTCATTAAGTACCGTAAACTGAAAGCAACAGAAATCACTAGTGTGTGATATACATCCACCGAAAAATAATGCTATGATTTCCACATAAAATAAAGTCGAGTAGATGGTATACAGGGGAATAAGACAACGACAAGAACAACGAAGAAACAAACAAACAAACAAGCATATACACATGTATGACCAAGGAGAAGTTGACAAAATGATAGCGTACAAAGTGGCGGGGGGGGGGAACTTGAATACCTGTGTCAAGACAATAATCCACATGAAAGGCATATCACGCGAGGACATAGTCGTAAGAAGCATCACAAAAAAAAACAGAAAGTAACAAAGAGATCAATACATTTGATAAATCACCGTTAGAGAAAACTAATTCTGACAAAACACAACTAATTAATTCATTAATTAATCCATACTTAATGACAACAACTATGCGATCTAAGGAGTAAAGCTCGATTTTGTGCAAACAAAAAATAGCCCAATGTGAAACCGAATATAACAGCCAATAACAAGTAGACATTGTATGTCATCACGATTAACATTAGCATATAACCCATAAATGTATGCAGCATATGTAGAAATGTTTGAACGAGATGATATCCTGAACAAAAGCTATACACGGGTTATTTTGAGTAAAAGGAAGAGGAAAAGGAAATTGGTTTAATTCAAATAATATACAAATAACATCTAGGACAATATTGTTTCACTGCATGATACATACATTAAACTTACAAATTGAATAGACGACATTGTAAAAGGTAGAACTATTATTTAACCCTCAGGATTTGTTCATAAAAGACATGGTACCAATGAGGGTCAATAGACTCCACCCCAGTCTTTTTTACGCCATCCTCTCAAGTGGCCATGCGTTCACAACCTCTGACGGGTAAATCCTATTCACTGCCTTCACGCAACGGCGTGTTTCTCATAAAGGTGAAAAGGGCGAATGCGAACAACTGGTGCTTACAACCGGACTGGTGGACAAACTGGTCTACCTAGGGGAGCTGGAGGGCCTTCATTTTAAATCTATGATTTACATGAGCTCTATAATCTCAAAGGGTAGAATGGCATATAAACCTGTTTTCGTCGACGGAAACCACGAGAATGCTGCTCCACCGCCTTGTGGATCACACTTCAAGTCAAAGATTCGGGTACTGGTTCCTTAAAATAACTATATGTTTCAGTCTGGACATCGGGGGAGTATTCCAGCCCTTGCACAAACTATCAGTTTTTCTGGAGCACATCTCTTGGTGCCCATAATGCACCGAGTTTGTGTTTTTGGTATAATAATAATAATAAACAGACAAGTATCCCCAAGCGATAATAATTATCACTTAAAAAAGCTAGCGAACACCTCATTTGAAATAGTATAAATTACGATATTAATGACGAATATTTCACTACATACAAGAACACTAATGTGGTGAGAGCTGTCTGCAAGACAAATTGTAGACAACAATTGACTTTAATGTTGCATTAATGCGACTAATGACTGGTTTATTTGCCAATTAAGCTATAAAAAAATAGATTCAACACTTTATCCGGCAGTCGGTGGAATCGTTGAACAACACAATTCTTAGTTTTTGAAATGAAAAAAGTATTTTGTTTAATTTATTTGAACCCTAAATTTCGTATCTTTAGAGAGTCGGTAGTCATCAGCGAACAACAATGTATACATGCTTTTAGGGCTGAAAGTTTCCCGTGAAATATAATGTCAGTTAGTTGCGTCAAATGCATACCATTAACCCTCATTAGTCTTCAATTTCCCACGTAACATAATATAATCAGTTTTGAGAAGTCCATCAAAGGATAAGGGAGGACAAACTAGAAGAATGGGTAGGATACATGAATCAACAAATTGTAAGAGAATAGGTTGATCTGTACCAGAAAGTCCCAACTTATTTAGGTAATAAATCAAAACAAAACATCTTAGAAGTCAACATGTTATGAGACAGCCGAAATAGATTCGTAGAGAAATTGATGCCAAAATAAGTTATATTCAATTTACACCCTATCACATTGCCATCAGTATTACAAAAATCATTGGACTGAATCAGTCCACTCAAGTCCTGTTTGTATCTGAAACTAAAATCTACAAAATTACATTTAGATGGATTCAGTTTAAGACCATTTGTAAACTTCAGATAGGAATCTATACATAAATGCAGAAACTACTAGGACAGCAGTTGTCAGACCATCAGTATACTTTTGGTGAGAGCTGTCTGTTAGTCAAAATTAGTAGACAGTAATTTACGTCAATGTTGACGTCCCAAATCTTGGACATGAGAAAAGACAAGAACAAAGCCTAACCTTGCGGAACTCAACAGCCAATCACAGCAGACTTTGCATGGGCGGATACGATTCGCGAATATATGGTCTGACCAATCAGAAGACGCTGTTTCTCGGCTAACAATAACGCATAGTAATGTACATAAAAATCCATAAATATCTGTTGATTTTCTCAATAAACGATCTGTTGCCTGGCCCTTCTCTTCTGTTGTTACACTCATAGTGGAGTTTTAATGTATAAGTTATCAGTCATACTTATGCTGTAAGAGTTATTATTACTCTTTGGTTCCCTGAATATAGGTGGATTTGGTTGGATATGAAAATGGTGGTGCACTGAATACACATTCAATATATCTGAAAGACATTTCTAAGACCGGATTTTGATTTCTCCATGTTTCCTTTTTATTTCCAGTATAAAATGAAATCCTATAAACACATTTTAAGAGATGTGTACTACTAATCCTATCAACTACCGATGGAGTCCGAGTTCAATTCCCGGTCGACACACTTCTAAACCTCGCCTTGCCTGTAGTCAGGTCAGAAAAGTGAAGGTTTAACGTGAGGCTACGAACTTCAAGTCGTAAAACCAACATAACCGATAGTGAAACTCTATAGTTCACGCCCTATTTTCTACTTGGAACGCAAATGAGTGAAATATATCTATATATGTTATTGCTCATTCGAAAAGTATGTCATCTTTCAGGTTAGAAACTAACCTGCTCTTAATATGCAGCTATATACCTGATTCTTATTTTACTCTGATTATAGTGTAGCAACAGAAGGTAAGGGCCAGGCAACAGATCGTTTATTAAGGAAATCAGCACGTATTTATATATATTTCATGTACATTATTATAGCTTATTCAAGCAGACAAACACAGTCTTCTGATTGGTTGTTTCTTGCTCGGGCAAAGTTAAACTTTAGACACCACTAACAACCAATCAGCAAACGACCTTGAATGCAGTTGCTCAGGGCTATTCTGTACTGCTTGTGACTGGTTCCTCAGAAAGTTAAGCCATATATCTGTATCTGAATTGTATTTGCCCACGTTAAGTCTGCTGTGATTGGTGGTTGAATCAGTCTTGTTCATATTTTCTCACGGCCAATATTAGCGACATAGACATAGACGTAAATTAATGTCTACCAATTGGCTAGCAGCCTGCTCTCACCACAATAGTATTATATTATGCTGTTTTGCTAATCTTACAGACAACTAACTACTTATTGCTAACTTCCTAAGAATTTATTTATTGTCCAAGAGTATCTGATAAACCTAAAATATACAGATAAAGATGCTGACTGTAGTAAAAGAAAATCCTAAATATAGTTCCCGCCAGTTGAATGTAAAGTGACATTTTTAGGCTTCTAGCGATATAAGCTATGAAATAATTAGGTAAAAAGCTGTAATACCTAAAAAAATATCCACGTACACAGTAGTTTAACGTGTAGCAGCTGTGTACCACCAAAAATAAAAACTGTTTCATCACAGTGGAATTTTCTCATTCAGATATTTGATTATATAAGGCTACAACATGCATCAGAATTTCAGTAGCGGCGGGGCTATTTCATTTTCCAGGATAGGGTTCGTAACCTCATACCCTACATTTTCTCTTTTTCGGGTTTATAAACGGTTAGTAAACTGTACGAGGCTTGGCAGTAGTAGACCATTCGGGTATAGAACCTGGATCTCTTGTGTACACCACCAATGAGCCACCAACATAATTATTCCATAAAGCATTCTGTTGGCTAGTGCCTTAATCTAAATTGTTGTAATACTATAATATATCCAAGCATTGGCTTGTAGGGATTTGACTGATTGGTTACAAGATTTTACCTAGGGCTGACATCGATTAGAGAGCCATTAGAAAACATGCAAGGAGTACTAGACAGTTGTTTCGTCCTAGTTAGGAACTTTTTACAGTACACACCCATCGCCAGGGTTCGAACCCAAAACCTTCCGGCTACAGGGCGAGCTCACAGACCATTAAGCCACTGGGACCCGATCCGATAGCCAGCCCATGAATTCCATCTCCTGCCAAATCACGAAATAGCGCGACCATTAGCCAATGTCTTCAGCGAGTATTTGTCCTTACCCTTCGCCTGCTGTAATATTATATATATATATATATATATATATATATACTAAAATTCTTCAAATGGGATGAACTTCCTTGAAAAGTGTATGCATTTCGGATTCCTTTTTGTAAGCAAAAGGAATACATACATAGTGTGACTGACATCATTAATACTTATAAGTTCATCTTCAATTTTCTTAATTAAAAAACTACTACTTTGTGAATGAAATACTCTGATTATATGAAGTAAAAGGTTATGCATGCACCTTAGACATGCACCGACAGATAAAATATCGTCAATAATAGAAATTACAAATATAAAGTGCACAGAGAAAACTTTTTTTAATATAATCTAAAGTAAACATGGTCAAAGTGAAAACATGTGGCATAACTATTAGTTATTGTTTGTTTTTACATCTTTTAAACAACAAAGATTACACTGCAAATTAACTAACATCTCTATTAAGATGCCTAAAACTCTACAATCTGTCAAATTAAAGCCATTAAAAGAGTTAAATGTCAGAAGTTAAATTTCATTAGCCAATGAATTTGGGAGTCCCCGCGCTTGAATAGTCTACGAGCTTGTCTTGTAATCTGAAAGCCCTCGAAACCCAGTGGATGCATACTACTGACGAGCTCCACATCAGAACCAAATAACCGCCTAGTACTCTCTAGTTTTCAATGGTTCTCTAAGTGATATGAAGTCGTGGTCAAACTTAAATTATCAAAATATCTGTTAGGGAAGTAAATATTCATAATGAATAATTACTTTAGAAAAAATCCCCATTTAGACATTTAGAAAGCAAAAGGTGAAGAAATATTCACTTTTCAATTAGATCCTCAATGATGCACATTCAGCAATAAACTTCACTATAGAGAAAGAAAGTAATGATGCTATCTGTTTGTCTGTCTGGATTCAATATAGAACTTGGCACCAAAGTGCACCAGTTCCAGTTGCCACGTTCCGAATAGCACACACACAGGGGTAGACAAGAAGATGAGTGGAGAGAATCAATACAGTCTGACAAGTATACGAGTGAAACAGAATGGGTAATGGTAGAAAGGAATATGAAAGATTACAGAGACTGAATATATCTGCGCTGGCCATTGACAACGATTTTGAGCCATGTCACCTATTGTCTCCAGCCATTGATTCCTAGAGTCCCGAGGGCCCCAACCCGGAAGTCTGCATCTCCCTGACCGACTCAGTTTAACTGTCAAGGATTTCATGGATTGATGCCATGTTTT